GGAAATACAGAGTAAGGAATTGTGTTTAATTTATTCTTAGCTTAAAAAATAATTTTGATTATATTACTAAATACCTAAAATAAGTTTTTAAAGATTTATTTATATATTATGTATACAGTGTTTTGTCAGAAAAGGACACCACGCCGGTCGTTGGTGGAGCACGACTTTAATCCCAGCACTCGGGAGGCAGAGGCCGGCGGATCTCTGTGAGTTCGAGGTCAGCCTGATCTACAGAGTGAGTTCCAGGACATTCCCCAAAGCCAACAAGAACAGGCTGCTGTTAAGCATGTCGTATATGGACTAGACCTTGGTCATAAACTCCATGACACTGGCCTATGATAAATGTATAAGGTGAGGATAAAGTATAGATATTAATAGTGATTGTAATTGAACATTGCTACAACATTTAACTGCCTTTAAGTTGTAGTCTATGAGAGTATAGTTCTGTAAAGCATTAGAAATTTAAAGAAGACAAAATTCAGATATCTGGCCCTGTAGTTGTTAATCATCTTTTTTGTGTACAATCTTGAATTAAAGCATATATATGTATATATATGTATATATTCATATATATAAGCAGATGTGTCTAGAAGTTGTAAAAATGTACATTTCTGTATGAGTTATATCGGTGTGCATTATCCTAAAATTGTTGAGTTATCTCATAGCATATTGCTTGCAGACAGTTACTGAAGATAACCCAGAGATCCTAAAGTATTTGGATGGCACAGCACTGCATGTGCTGGAGTCTGCTTTGCTTTGTCCTGTTACCTCTATGGAATATATTCTGCTAAAGACACTGGTAGCAGGTAAGGTTCATCCAAATGTCTAGTAACTTGTAATGGACAGAAGTGGGGGACAAGATTTACTCTTCCTTCATTTTACAGTGCCAGCTCTGTGCTCTGTCTGGTCTGAAAAACCTTAGTATCAGAGCAGAGACCTTTTTGGGGGCAGGGGTTTTCAAGGCAGGGTTTCTCTGTGTAGCTCTGGCTGTCCTGTAAGGCTGGCCTCCAATTTACAGAGATCCTCCTGGCTCTGCCTCCTGGGTGCTGGGATTAAAGGTGGGCACCACTATGCCCAGCGAGCAGAGACCTTCAACTGACATGGTTTCCCATAGTTATGGAGACTTCTAGAATACATGTTTGCATTTATAAACAATTGTTTCTTTTGGATTTTTTTGTTTGTTTGTTTTTTCAATACAGGATTTCTCTATAGCCCTGGCTATTTTGAAATTTGATCTGTAGACCAGACTGACCTCAGACTTTGAGGTCTGTTTGCTTTTGCCTCCAGAGAGCTAGGATTAAAGGTGTGCACCACCACTGCCCTGCTTATCTTTTTTTATTAATATAGGTGTGTGTGGTTGTGTGAACTTACCCCACATGGTATAATACAAAGCATGTTGTTGCATAGCCGAATTTCAAGATCTCTTCATCCTCCAAAATGAGACTTTATTCTCTGAATGAGAACCTTTCCTAACTCTGCTCCCCCTCCTTGGTTTTCTGAGCCTCCATCTCTCGAATGCTAGGATCGCTGGTGTACAGCATCAGCCCTGCTTTGCAGTCCTAGGGGATGAACCCAGGGCTTTGTGAATGCTAGGCAAGCGTTCTATCATCTAAGTTACATCCTCATAGCCTGCATTCACTTTAAAAATGATTCTGGTTTCTTCCTGGAAGCACAATTTTATTTTGAAAGGAAAAAGCCAAGAACTTTTAGTCAGTTTTCTACAGGAGATATTGGAGTGTTAATAACATCCCGGTACACTTAGGATACAAGAAGCTGCAGAGAAGAGTGGCTTAGATGAAGATGGAGGAAAATGAGGTGCCTCCTTTCATTCTAAAAGAAACTTTATCAGTGTCTCTGGGTAGTCACTGTTTATACCAGAGAAAGATGTTGTGTACCAAGGCAGGATGAACAAATGCAATTGGGTTAGATGTTTTGAAATTACACCAAAGCCTAAAGACTCAGCCCTGTGAAAACACTTTTTCCCCTCACCACTATATAATATTATGTTTTTCCATTTAGTTATAGTTATTTCCCCTCACTACTAAAAAATACTATGTTCCATTTAGTTATACTTTATTTTCAGTATTTAGCATTTCCCTTTATTATACCAGAATCAGTCTATATATTACCCTGTCAGTATCAGAATCCAGTTTTTAATTAAGATTCCACAGGCAGCTCCTCTGTCTTCATTATTTGACTTTATTACTGTTTCCCAGGTTCAATATGGAACCTAAAAGACATTATTCCATCTAAGAGTCAGGCAGAAATCATAAATGCCATACTAACGATCTTGTCTGAAGTTCTTGATGAATGCTGCCGAAACAGGCATTCGGATGAAAGAGGCTGAAACCCATCGGTTGAAAACAGCTTTAGAAACTGAGGACATACTAACAGATGCTAATGGTGATGATTTAGTTGAAGATGATGAAATGGAAGAAATTTCTCGTAAAAAAATCAGAAGGAAAACATTTATTTTTGATTTACTTCTAGTAAGTGAGCATGGTGTTCAACATGAATTAATACATCTATTTCTTTTGCCAGGTGTCCTTAGCATTATAAAAATACTACAGCCAAGTTTTTGGAAAACTCATATTTTTCCTGTTGATTCTCATTATAGCATTAGAAATGTACCCCTGTAGAAGAAACAAACAAAAATCTCTCGTCTAAAATGAAACCTTTCTGTGTGGGAGCTTTCAGTTGATGCAACCTAACCCAAATACCAGCCTGTCTTCTGCCTCTGTCCATTTCAGTTATCCATTGCCTCCCAGGCTGTCTTCACACTGATTTTACTCCACTCAGTTTGTCACTTGAATTCTTATCCTTTACTCTAGTGTTTATCTTTAGCAATAGGCCAAAGCATTCCCCCATTGCCATCAGCCTGAGCAGGAGAGGCTAGGGAATGTGTAGTGTGCTTTATGTTAGTGTGGTATTGTGGTGAGGGTGCATGGTGCACAGTTATTTCAGCTGAGAAAGTGTAGATGATCCATGCTTCTGGAGAATGTTTTCCTCCAGGAAGTGAGAACATAGGAAGGCAGAGAAGACCCAGTTGGGAAGGCACATACTTCTATGCTGCTCTTCAGTTCATGTTTTCTGTACTCGGGAATTCCTCTTTTTCAAGAATACAGACATGTATCTGTACTCGGGATTCCTCTTTTTCAGAAATTTACAGACATGTAAGCCTGTGGTTGTGAGCTCTATGCAAAGAACAGAATTGGGACCAAATTCCTGTCATTTCTTTAAACTGGCACATCTAATTAATCCCAGATGGGAGAGCAAAGGAGAAAGCTGTTGGAGATGACACAGGGCCAACTGAGCTGTGTGAAATGGTGAAGTAAGAGATAGAATTGTGAAAACATAGTAATCTTTAGAGAGCTCACTCAGTTGGCAGGAAGAGCAGGAGGCTGCTAAAGAAAGATGATAAGCCTAGGCAAGGAGTATACTGTTCACATTCTCTCATGGGACAGTGCCAGGGGTGGCTTGTCTTGACTCATATGAAAGGAATTGAAACTAATTGTCTTGAATCAACATCTTACAGTTTATATTAGAATTCTTTAAGTTGAATATATCAAAGTATTTTCTAGTATATTATGATTGCTTGCTTCTTTGTTTTATTTTATCTTCCCTATAGGTGGGATCCCCATGCCCAACTCTTGTGATCTTGAAGACTTATGAGTCATAGTTTTATGTTTCTTAAAAATTAATACATTTTATTGGTAGGGAGGAGTCATGTGCATGCCATAAAACCTGTGGAGGTGACAGAGTCAGTTCTCTTTTTCTATCATGTGGGACGTGGAGAGTGAGCTCAGATCATCATACTTGGCAGCAAGAACCTGTAACTACTGAACCACCTCTCTCACCTGCATAATTTAATCTTAGTGCTTTAAGGAAATCAGGCTTTTAAAATGTAGAATGGGTACATATGAACAAAGAATTGTGTTAAGCCAAGAAGGCCATTCTATCCTCAAATTTCTTAAAGACCAAAAAATACATTAAAAATCATAGCACCTCCTCTTTGAACACAGCACACATTGTTTAAGGTCCTGAGTTTGATACTGGCACAGTAAAAGAGAAATAAAAATTTTGAGTTCATAAGACAGTGTTTCCTCAAAGCAAAATTTGCCTTTAAAGTTTTAACTCTTACCTTAGATAGTTAACATGTAAGTCACCTAGCCAACCAGCATTTAGGTGTGAGTAGAGTGTTAGATATCATAGTCACATGTGCACAGAGCACAAACTCACAGTAAACTGAGGTCCTTCCCACTGCCTTGTGTATTCTGATGGTGTCCTGCCAATTTAAAACCTTCAGTTGCAGCCGGGTGGTGGCGGCGGCACACCCCTTTAATCCCAGCAATCAGGAGGCAGAAGCAGGTGAATATCTGTGAGTTTGAGGCCATCTTGGTCTATAGAGAAAGTTCCAGAATAGCCAGAACTGTTACACAGAGAAACCCAAGGTTTTGTGCATGATAGGCAAGCATTCTACCAACCGAGCTACATGCTGGGACATCTTTGAATTCTTAACAACATGTGATACAATGTTGGATAAGATGGGATTTTTTTTGCTAGTTTACTTAATTGCATTTAGTGCTGAGGATCAGACCCAGGGTTTTGCACATTCTTGGCAAGCACTTTAACACTGAGTTACATCTCCAACCCTCTTAGATAAGTGTAATTTATTTATACACACACACACACACACACACACACAGAATTATATAACTTATAGAATACTTACAAGGGCAGATGCAGTTTTCCTCCAGGTGTTTCTGGTCTTGGGTTAGTTAGGTGGCCATAGTCTGTGTCCCAGATACTTATGGCTGAGACAGGAAGGTTGAGCCCTGGGATTTGAGCCCCTCCTTCCCTTGGCACTACAATATAGTAAGAATTTTTAACAAGGCAAAAAAGATGGAAATTCATTAACACCATGATTATAGAACCGGGAGGTATGGAAGAGTGGCTATAATCTAAAATATTCACATCAATGGAATGTTTGTTTAGTTATAGTAGATCCAATTAGTGAAATTTTATTTAGTCATTAAAAACAGTTTGAATTTGTAAACAACAAAGTACATGTCATTTTCAAGGTTATGCCACTCACCATAGGATATCAGTGTGGCTGATTTTTTACAGGCAATTTAAGAATTAAGGTTTAGGCCAGGTGGGAGTAGTACATGCCTTTAATCAAAGTACTCAGAGGCAGAGGCAGAGGTAGGCAGATCTCTGTGAGTTCCAGACCAGCCTGATGTACAAGAGCTAGTTGGACACTAAGAAAAAAACTGATATGAAAGATACCTGATTTTTCTTATTTATTTTTATTTCTTTAGTCTACTGACAAGGAACTGAGAGACATCATGGCATTGCTGGCAGCTCAGCAGACTGCTCTGGAAGTTACTGTCAACATGTGCTGCAGTAAAGGTTTGCTCCCAACGTACACTGGACATTCCCCCACCTGGCTCCCACTCCTCATACCAAGGGCAGCTTCCGTGAGAGTTTCTTTGATACCCCAGTAATGCCTTGTTTGCTCTTTTTTCCTCAGATCTCTCTGATGATGAATGGTAAGAGCTTTGTAGTAGTGATGAAAGTGAAGCCTTTATGGAAAACTCCTTCAATGAGTGCAGTGGGCAGCTGCTGTCCCATGAGATTCACACTGCTCTTACCAACTGCCTCATCCCAAAGAAGGTCATCTAGTATTACCCTGGCCTCCGGGTGGGGAGTCGGAATGGCTGGTGGGAGCCGTTTACTTGCAGAGCAGAAACTGGCAGCTTGGGTGTAAAGCAGAACTGACAGAACTAGAAATACACACGTGCTCTGACCCTGATAATTTGTAAACTAAGAGAAAAGTCCCATTTAAGACAGTTTCCCTTCTATCTTTTCCTGTTTCCATTTCAAACCTGGGTGTTTGAGAAAACTGCATCACCAAACAGTATTGCTGTTGACATATGATCTAGGAACCCTACTTGGAAAACTTTGATTAAAAAGTAAGAACTTTTCAGTGTTCAGAAACAAAACATCATTTTGTCATTATGTGAAGTGTTGTAATATTGACTAGAAAATGCTCCCAAGACCAGCCAGGAGAAGTTTGTGCCCAGTGTGCTTGGATACCAGTGTGAGAATGAATCTTCACAGCAGTGTGGGTCATAGTTGTCCCAACTTGGAAACAGCCTCGTTGTCTGTTCATGGTCATATGTATAAGAAGTTTACATTCAGCAGTAAAAAGGATCTGAACTGGAACCACTCACAACACAGCAGAATTTACTGTGTTGAACAGAATGAATAAGACATAAAATGTGTACTCTGTGGTTCCATTTCCACAAAGACACATCTAAGCACACTCAGGACACATACCAAGTGGCTCCTCTATGAAGAAGCAAGAAAGAAACCAGGCCTGGGGTGGGGGTCTGTAATCTCAACTGCCCAGGGCTGATCATAAGTTCAGGAAGCTTATTGAGACCCTGTCATCAGATATTTTAAAAGTCAAAAGTGGCCAAGTTCAGGGTAGAGTGCTTGTCTAGTATGAATGGTGCCTTGGGATCAGTCCCTGGGACAGCAAACTATAAATTCAAATGAAAAAATAAATGGAAGGAGTTTGCTATTCAAGGCTGAATAGAGATTTAGGACTCACAGGGAGGTGCACTCAAAGCCCTTGAGTTCTCAGGTACTTTGATTGGCAGATTAACAGGTCACATTATTCTTTGTGACCAGATCCCCTTGAACTTGTAGGAACTCTTAATCTGAAGTTTATACATGGAGGCTCATAAGTCTAATCCCTGTATTCAAGAGGATCACAGAGTCAGAGCCAATGCAGACTTGACAGTGAGCTCCAGGATAGCCTGTGGTACAAGGCAAGATGCTACACCAAAGTCAACAGTAATGGTAGTAAAAGTCACTTGACCCATAGCATTCCAGTGTACTAGTTTACAGAAACAACGCTGTTCACTTTCTTTGAAGATTGAACACTACTCAGTGTAGAGCCCTTATGTGCCTCCAGAGTCTTGTGTCTCTCCTGGACATGGACCATCTTGGAGGAGCCCCAGCTCTTCAGACACTTGCACAGTACCTGATGCAAATTCTTTTTTTCTCAGCCTGGTAAATATTTAGACATTACTGTGAAAGACATAGTAATGAAATTTATTAGTAATAGTAATGAAAGACATTACAACTTAGACATAGCAGAACGTTGGAGGATAGTGACTTGAACTCTATAGATGGAGTATTATCTTATTTATGCTGCAGAAACCTTTCCCAGACTCAATCAGCCATGTATTATCATTGCCAATGACAATCAAGGGGTACCAGTAGGTTTGTGTGTGTGTGTGTGTATTTTAAAATTAATGTCAGTCTGGGCAGTGATGACCTATGCCTTTAAACCAGCACTTGGGAGGCAGAGACAGGCAGATCTCAGTGAGTTCCAGTATAGCCAGGGATACACAGACAAGCCCTGTTTTTTTATTTTTAAAGATCAAAAAAATCCTGTCTGAAAAATGAACAGAATAAAAAATTAATGTCAAGCCAATTAAAATAAGTCATATGTATCAGGTTCTTATTAGGATATTTGAGTAGTTCTTGTATTGTTTTTTAGGATTTTATACATGAATACTGTATCTGCTTTGTTTCTACACCCCAAGACCTCCTGTCTTCCCCTTGTCACCCTCTCTTGAATTCATGATCCCTTCTATGGTTATTCCTATTACAAACACACCAAGAACATAGACACACAACCTGCCTCCACCCCCCCCCAGTACTGGAGTTAAAGGTGTGTACCACTGTGCCCAGCTTCTTGAGGGTATCATGCTGGCCCTGTCGTTGTGGTTTTCAGTCTTTACAGCTCTCCAGGGCTGTGGATAACTTTTCTCCCTCAGCAGCTTGCATGGCACCCTCAGCACTGTGAGAGCCAGCCTTCAGGAAAGAGGCTTCCTGGTAAGCACCAGGTTAATCTCTCCTAAGTTCAGTGAGTGCAGTATGTGGTGTCTTCAGCCATAAGGTCCACCTTGGTGTTCTGGCAGGCAACCAAGAGCATGGCAGTAGTCCATATTGTTTTGGAGATTTTTCTGGCCTCCCCCAATCCTATTCTTTTTGGGGGTGGGTTTGAGACAGGGTTTCTCTGTGGTTTGGAGGCTGTCCTGGAACTAGCTCTTGTAGACCAGACTGGCTTCGAACTCACAGACATCGGCCTACCTCTGCCTCCCGAGTGCTGGGATTAAAGGTTTACGCCACCAAACCCAGCTCCCAATCCTACGCTTATAATTGAAATTTAATTGGGCAATACACATGCAGTATGGAGGACAACAGTTAGGACAGAAGGTGAAGTGGGCAGCCTCCTTCCTTTCCATTCCACCCAGTTCTCAGAGGTGTCGTTAATACACTCGTTACATTTAAGCAGCTGCTTCCAGAGAGATGGATTCTCTAGAGATGAGACAGGCCTAGGGAGGGGGCAGTAGACATGAATGCTGTAATACCAGGAACAGTTCTATACCTGGCTTTTGTCTGACATGTCTTTATTTAAACACCTTGGCTTGTAAAGAACTGAGTCTCTTTAGTTACATGTCTCCGTCTTTAATTTCTGTGACAGTGCCATATCTTTTGACAGTTAAGCTTAAATGTCAGAAGTACCATTTAAACAACTGCCCAAAATTGTTTTGTTTTTTGTTTGTTTGTTTTATTCGAGACAGAAACTCTCTGTGTAACATCTCTGGCTGTCCTGGAACTCAGCTTGCTGTCTAGACTGACCTCAAACACAGAGATCCGTCTGCCTCTGCCTCTTGAGTTCTGGGATTAAAGGCATGTGCCACTGCACCCAGCTCAAATATTTTAGTTAATGAAAATAAAATGTGAATCATACAATGTGGAAACTTTTAAAGACCTTTTAAAGAATACTTTCGCTTCAGTTTTGGAGTGTCCGTTGGACACCAGGCTTTAAGAAATGTGGGGGAGCTCTAATAAGCCCATTGTTTAGCACGTGTTTCTTGACTTCTGACTATGTCACATACCACCTAAGTCCTAGGCATAATAAGGAAAGAATGGTGTAAGGTGCTGTGTTAAATGTAAGGGGCTCTCTGGAGAGAGAGAACCTTTGAACTGGGATCACAATGAAATGAAACAGATCACATGTCATATAGGATTTTGTCCAAAGTGTGTCTGATCCTAAGGTTGACCTGTTGTCTGTTGTCCTGTAATAATTACAGGAATTCCCTTCTTTGGTACATATAATATCTGAAAATGAAAAGCCAAATGATATAAGCTTTGGTTATAATTTGTGGGGAGCTGGTAAGATGACTCCACATGTTAAAATTTTTTCATATAGAAACCTGAGAGCCTGAGTTAGATTCTTGGATCCCAGTGTGGAAAGATTTCTGAGTGTTGTGCTTTGACCTCCATGGATATATACACATATACAGCTGCACTTACACATGGTAATGATAAATAAAAATTTTACAATTATGGACCTGACATGGATTGCATCTTTTGTAATCCCAGCACTTGTAAGGCTGAGGCAGGAGAATTTAGAGTTGAGGCCATCCTGGACTATAGGGAGACCCTGTTATAAGGTAATTGTGGGAAGCTACCCATCTTCCTCAGGCAACGTAAGAGGTGGTTTTAGAAATGGGACAGTGTCCCAGGCACACAGAGCAATAAACCATGGCATCTGCTGCTATTTAACAAGTCTGACCCAAACTTTATGACTGAAGCAATAAGCTGCATGTGATTGAGTGTATAGCTCAGTCTCTGTGTCTCAGGAACCTGAGGCAGGAGAAGCCTGAGTCCTGAGTTCTAAAGCATCCTGAGCACCACATGATACCCTGTCTCATGGTTATTCTGAGTCTCTCTATGCTTGGAACACAGGCAGAATGGGGGAGTTGGTTTGTCTCCATTCAACAATGTCTATAGGCAGTAATTCTCCACGAGGGGCAATTGCTCCTCTTGTGGAGGACATTTGGTAATGTTTGAAGATATTTTCAATGGTTGCTAACTGTCCTGGTGGTTGCTCCTGGTATGCAACAAGAGCTCCCTGTACACACACACACACACACACACACACACACACACACACACACACACACCCAGAATTATCTGGGCAGTGTCACTATTGCCAGGATCATTTGAGAATTTGTTCACTTACATTAAATTCAATAGTTAGAATCATCTATTGGAGCACCAATGCATGATCTGAGCCTCTTTGCAACAATGATTGAGTTCCTAGGTTGGAGTCCAGGGCAAAGCACACACCTAGGAGTCAGCTATAAGTCACATTGCTTGTTACGACCTAGCTGGTCATGGATAACAGTCACACCCATGTTTAAGAGGAAGAAATCAGACTGCTTGTGGCACATAAATTGGGAGGTGATAAAAGATGGTGTGCAGAACTGAAAAGTTCACCCACAGAAGCCTTGGATATTGTATTGTTCTCAGAAGGATCAGGGAGGAATGTACATTTCCCTGAGGGATTACTGCTTAAAAACTGATTGTAAACTTGTTAAGCGGCTTGTCACTGACATTAGACTTTCTATTCTTCCTGCTCCCAGAAGAAGACACCAACAGTTAGGAGTTTAAATTTTGAGGCTTCCTAGTGTTGAGAGGTACATCAAACAGTTCTAAGAAGGTCTGCTAAGAGGCTTCTGGGTTCTGAATGATTTTGTTTTGATTTGTGTGGCTTTATTTCTTAGTTTTTTGTTTTGTTTGTCTGTTTGTTTATGTCTGTTTTGTTTTTGGAGACGGTTTCTTTGTGGCTTTGGAGGCTGTCCTGGAACTAGCTCTTTTGTAAAGCAGGCTTGTCTTGAAATCACAGAGACTCCCTGCCTCTGCCTCCTGAGTGCTGGAATTAAAGGTGTGTGCATCCACTGCCTGGCTTATTTCTTAGTTTTTAAGGGAGTTTTGCTACTTTTTGTGTTTAAAAATTAGTTTATTTTGTACGTATGCCTGCATGTGTGCACATGCATGTGTGCACACACACCCCAAGGTAAGGAAGGGAGTGGAATTCATAGGACAGCATAGTGGGAGTTGTTGTTCTTCTAGGTCTCAGGGACTTCCTGAAGCAGTTTTGAGTTGTTTACCTTCCTGTTTAAGGCGCTTCCCCGTAGGATGAAATGTTTCAATCTCAGAGGAAACTTAACACAACACTATTCTGACATTAAATTTAGTTTGACTCTTAGCATTTTGTTCTGTGTTCTTGGGATTTAACTGGTACTGTGCTAGTAGATGAGCAAATATATGGGTCCTGGACAGATAGGGACTTGGGACACACAGCATGTGGACAGGGCATTAGAACTCTGAGATTGCTGTCCTTTATGTCCTGTGTCTCTTGTGCCAGTGGTTGGCTAAACTCCCTGGGTGCCCCTAAGACTTTAAGTGTTTGAACCCTTACTCTTCACATTGCCCAAGTTCTTGAATCTTGGTTCTTCCTTAGCTTACTTCACGTTCTTGCAAGTGCAAGCTTATGTTTAACCCTTCTTTTATAAATGAATTCCTTTCTTCTCACTGGATAGAAACACACTTCATGTAGAATACTGTACGAGGGCTGGGGGTATAGTCCAGTTACTAAGGTTCAATCCTTAGTAATGCCACAAAAGAAAATAGAGAGGGAAAAAGAAAGAATAAGTACTTGGATCTTTAATGTTTTTTGTTTTATTTATGTGTCTGGTCATACCTTTCTTGCACAAATAAAGCCTGTCTGGGGGTCAGAGACAAGGAGCAAGCTACAACATACCTTACCTCTTAAGCCTCTCAGCAGAGAAGGGAAGCGATTTCCTGTTTGTCCCTACATGCGTCCTGCTTCTGCCCAGCTATGTCACTTTTTGTCTGTCTGTACAGACCTCCAGACCTCTAGACCTCTATGGTTAGCTAGTGGCAACATCCATTCTCTGATCTTCACATAGCCTTTATTTGTGCAAGAAAGATATCACCACATTTGTGTGTTTGTGTGTGTGGGGTGTCTCCTTAGTGGGGTCTTACTACGTTTGTCTGCCAGATTGGTCTTGAATGGAGGCGGTGATCTCTCCATGTGACTAGCCAGAACTCTAGTTGTATGCTACACACTACCCTCAATGGTTGATTTTGTTTTGTAATAAATTAATGAGAGATGGACCAAGGGGGAGAGAGACAGAGACTCACCATATAGTTCTGTAGTTCAGGCTTGCTTGAAGGCCTCGCAATCCTCCTGCCTCAGCATCCCATGCTGAATGTTGCATTGATGGTGTTGGACACTGTGCTGGCCTATAGCCCTTGAGTGGAATGAAACAGCCACGGTTTGTCTCCCCAATTATCCTATAATAACCTCTTAAAAACAGCTTGTTCAAAGCAGTATCGAAATATGGTTCTTTCCCTGCTATTTAAATCTTTTAATCTATAGGTTTCTGCCATCTGCTTCCCTCTTTATTAAGTTTGTTGAAAGAATTAGGTTATTTTTTCTTTCCTTTAGTTAAAGTTATTTGGCTGCATTGTGTGTGTTCATTTATGTATTTAGACATGTGTGCCTGTGTGTGCAAATGGAGAAGCCAGAGAGTACATGTGGCGCCCTGCTCCATTGCTTTCCATTTTATTCTTTGAGACAGTGTCATGTGTCATTAGTGTTTTGTTTTTATTTTTTTTGTTAAATTGGCTGGCCTACTAGCTCTCGGGATCTGTCTTCTCTCCTATGAGGAGTGGGGTTGCAGGCATGCATGCAGGGTCACATGTGGGGTCTGAACTCAGATTATCATACTTAGGCAACAAGAACTCCTATTCACTGAGTCATCTCCTCAGCCCTAGGTAATTGCATTCTGTAAACCTCCCTGATGTCTGCCTTTCTGATTGCATTTCCATTATGTCATTTTAGTTTGTTCGTTTGGCCTTATAGTTTTTTAAGGATCATGATTGGAACTAGGGAGTTGTTTTAATTTTTTTCATGAATACTTTATAGGTGAAACTTACCTGTTTTTAAAAGGCAGATAGGAGCTGGAGAGATGGCTCAATGGTTAAGAGCATTGGTTACTCTTCTAGAAGTGATGGATTATGATGGAGAAGTGTAAGGTGAATAAACCCTTTCCTCTCCATCTTGCTTTTGGTAATGGTGTTTCATAGCAGTAGAAACACTAACTCGGACAGCCTCTTCTCCCATTCTTGCTGGGATTTTGACTGACTTGATCGTGTGCACGTCTTGTGCATGTAGTCATTGCTGCTTTAAGTTCATGTGTGCAGTAGTCCTGTTGTGTCCAGAAAATGGTTTTTCTGCATACGGATGCACACTACTTATTGCTCTTGCAATATTTCTTCTTTCTCTTCTGCAATGGTCCCTGGGACTTGGAAAGGAGGGAATGTGGCATAGATGTCCCAGTTAGAGGTGAGCACTCAGTCTCTTGTTCTCTGCCTCTTGGCCAGTGTGTGTCACTGTATTATTCACCACCTATTGCAAAGAGAAGTTTCTCTGAGGAGCGTTGAGAGATACATTAACCTATGGGTATGAAGATAAGAAAGTAGAGGGGATTGGGTCACTATGTCTATTTAGCATGTTAGTTTTCCTCTAGAGTATATGACCTAGCCAGCCATAGATTTGTGAACAATTAACAGTTGCAGGCATGAATTTGGCCTTGTGGTGTAGCATTTAAAATACAATCAGGAAGAGCTTGGTTACTCCCATAACTTTCATGCTGCTGCTGCACTGGTGGACGTTTCATGCTAGACCAGTCATTACTGTAGCTCCCAGAATTCACAAGACTTCAGTGAGCAATCAACCCTCAGTGTCTGATGTTTCTCCAGGGTTCTTTGCTGAGTCCTCGGGGCACTTCCTTCTCCTTCTTTTTAACTAGTCTCTCTAGGGCTATGGATTGTAGCATGGTTATCCTTTACTTTACAGCTAATATCCACTTATGAGTGAGTGCATACCATGTTTGTCTTTCTGGGTCTGGGTTACCTCACTCAGGATCTTTTTTTTTCTAGTTCCATTCATTTGCTTGCAAATTTCCTGGTGTCCTTGTTTCTTACAGTTGAGTAATACTCCATTGTGTAAGTGTACCACATTTTCTTTATCTATTCCTTGATTGAGGGACATCTAGGTTGTTTCCAGGTTCTGGCTATTACAAATAATGCTATAGTGAGCAAGTGTCCTTGTGGTATGATTGAGCATCCTTTGGGTATATACCCAAGACCAGTATAGCTGGGTCTTGAGGTAGATTGATTCTCAGTTTTCTGAGAAACTGCCACACTGACTTCAGAAGTGGCTGTACAAGTTTGCACTCCCACCAGCAGTGAAGGAGTGTTCCCCTTACTCCACATCCTCTCCAGCATAGGCTGTCACTTGTGTTTTTTATCTTAACCATTTTGACAGGTGTAAGATGGAATCTCAGAGTGCTTTTGATTAGCATTTCCTTGATGGTTAATGATGTTGGACATATTCTTAAGTGTTTCTCAGCCATTTGAGATTCTTCTATTGAGAATTCTCTGTTGAGATCTGTGCCCTATTTTTAATTGGATTATTTGGTTTGTTGATATCTAGTTTTTTGAGTTCTTTATATATTTTGGAAATCAGCCCTCTGTCATATGTGGGGTTGGGGAAGATCTATTCCCAGTCTGTGGGTGACGTTTTGTCCTGTTGATGGTGTTCTTTGCCTTACAGAAACTTTTCAATTCCTTGAGGTTCCATTTAGTAATTATTAATCTTAGTGCCTGTTTATTGGTGTTCTGTTCAGGAAGTTGTCTCTTGTACCAATGTGTTCTTGGAAATTTCCACTTTCTCTTCTATTAGGTTCAGTGTATCTGGATTTATGTTGAGGTCTTGATCTACTTGGATTTGTGTTTTGTGCAGGGTGGTAGATGTGGATCTATTTGCATTCTTCTACATGTCAGCATCAAGTTATATCAGCACCATTTGTTGAACATGATTAGGTGTCCGTGGGTATGTGGATTTATGTCTCTGGGTCTTGGATTCCATTCCATTGATCTACCTGTCTGTTTTTATGCCAGGACCATGTGATTTTTATTACTATAGCTCTGTAGTAGAGCTTGAAATGAGTGATGGTAATACTTCCAGAAGTTCTTTTATTGTCATGCCTTGTTCTTAAGTTTCACTGTTCACCATTAAAAATCTCTAACTCCTTATTATTTTCTGTATTATCATATTATACAAATACTAACACAAGTGTAAATCAAAGCTGAGTATGTGGAATGATAGAGAGCTTGCCTAGCATGTGCCAGGACCTGCTTCCAAACCACAGCAAGGATCTAAATTGTTTATATGTTATTGTTAATTTACTCTCAAATATTATGTGTGTGACTGAATGTGGGTATGTGACTGCATGTGAAGGATTGTACCCACTGAGGCCAGAAGATGGTGCTCTATCCTCTGGAATCAGAGTTACAGGGAGTTGTGAGCAGTCAACCAGGCTCTGGAAACCAAACGTGGTCCTCTAGAACAGCAGAAAGTGCTCTTAACCACTGAGCCATCTCTCCAGCCCCTAAATATGAACCCTGTAACAGTTGTTACTGACTTCACACATTCATTCCAGCAGCGCAGTTTTTCATGCACTTAATTTGTTCTTTGTGCTACTGCTGCAAAACTATAGTATCCAACTCAGAATAGGTCATTGGATTCCGATGTTAAATAACGCACCACACCATTTTCATTTTAGGGAAAAGGAGCAGTGAAAGAAAACTTGATGGGTGTTCAAGAGAATCCAAGCATGGCAGTCCTAACTTGGATGGAGTCTAAAATAAAAGATATCCAATCTGCCATCTCTAAAGTGAACACACAAGAACGCGTGGTTATGACACTTCACAGAGCAACTTAGCAGTCTCCATCCTGGAACAGTCATTCTCGGGTTTGGTACTATTTGGAAAGCTTTAGAAATATTGCTTTAATTGGTCTGTGGAGATTCTGACCACATCAGGACATATGCTATTTCCATAATCCTAAGCAGCAGTCCACATTGGGAATGCCTATGTGATGCTAGGCATGGTTTTTTGAAGCTCAGGGTGGCCTAACCCTTTGTGTGGTAGCTGAGGATGACCTTAAACTTGGGCTCTTCAATATCTAGTTTTATGTAGTGTCAGGAACTGGACCCAGAGTTTCTCACATGTTAGGTAAACACACTGCCAGCATGCTACAACTCATCCCTGCTTGGTCTGATTTCTTTGGGGTAAAGGCATGAAACCTGGGCTCTGACTGTGAGACAAAGTTTTGTTACCCTTTCAGTGGCTGTGTGCTCTGGAAGAAAGGATGCTGAGTGCTAATTTCTTACCTGACACGCAGGTTGAAGATGAGGAGAAGAGGATTCGGTGAGGGAGTGAAAGTTGCCTCTTGTAAATGGAAGAGCGCATGTTAGATCATTTTACCGGGTTATGTGAAGACACAACCCTCAGCATCCCTGGAGCCCAAACCTGAGTGTCCTCTCCCAGGGACTTCTTTTGCTAATTTTCAGGAATTTTTGGCTTGCACAGCCAATGGCAGACTATGGTGACAGTAACAATGGCTTAGAGTTGGATTTTGATCTTTAGGTTCTTAATTTCCTAAATATATAAATAAATTTTCCATAAAATATATAAATATGGGTGTCAGATTACTGTATTGAGGCATTTTTCAGCCCCCATTTTTTAAGCTTTTAAAAGAAGCTTTTATTTTATAGCATGTGCATTACAGGAAACAAAACACAAGAATCTAAGAACAGTCTTCCAGTCACAAGCAGTTCAGTTTGTTGTGTCCTTCCAGATGCTGAAAATGTACTTACATTTAGGGAATTGAGATTATACAGTATGTACCAAGCTTTCCCCTGCATTGTGAATATTCACCAACTAAAAATCCCATGCTACATGAATATTTTGATAACCAAGAATACACCACACCATCTCAATCTGTCAGACAAATCTGTAATCCTGTCTTCCTTGGCAACAAAAACTTCATAGAAGACAAAAATGGCAGCAGGCTTCTAGGTAGAAGTACTGACGAAGTTACAATTAAGATTCTGCATTCCCTCAATGCTCATCTTAGAGAGAAACAAAAAAGCAGCATACCAACTAAGTACAGCAATCCTAAGTTTATCATCAGATGTATATACTAAAATGTGAAGGTGTTCCTGCTCAATAAATGTATTCCTGTGGAGCACTGAAGATGCACCTATGGCATGGGTCCTCAGGATGTCAATCTTAACACAGCACAGTGCTGCAGATCTTGCCCTGTGAACCTTTCTGTGTTCCTCCAGTCAACCTAGCAACATGAATTAACTCACACTGTCCAGGCATGGCTTAGCTAGTCTATGTTCAAGAGTCACCTTTTCTCAGCCTATGAAGCTATACTTTTAACCATATGCTCCCTTAGGACATTCATGAAGTTCAGATGTTGTGGGATGAACGTTGTACACAACAAACACAAGTATCTTCCCATATGCAGATATAGATCCCTGGGTAGAGCTGTAACTGTCTTCCAGATGTGGTGGTCCCAGCACCCTCTATATTTACCATGTGCATTTTTACATTAATTAGTACATGTGGGCACATACATGCCACTGTAATTGTATGGCGGCTACAAGACAATTAGTGAAACATTTTTGTTCTTTTATCATGTGAGTCATGGAGCACAAACTCAGGTCACCAGCTGGGTTGCAAGTGCCTTACCATCAGTCCATTATGCACATCTTCTTACTGTTTTGAGACAAAGTCTATGTCATCTCTGGCTGGCCTGGAACTCACAAGATCCACCTGCCACACCAAGTCTATTATGCACTTAAAAGTCTAAAGACTAGATGTTTCCAATAACACTTCTGTTTCCCTAGCATACCTACAGTGCAGTGCAGGAAATAAACTGCATATACCTATAAATAGCAATGTTCTGGTCTAGAACCTCTCCCATCTCTCTCAACCCAGTTTACGTAACTGTTATTTTCTTTTTTGTGGGGGATATTAACAGTTTCACTTCCTAAGAATTTTCCCTATGAATTTTAACACAACTTTAAAAACACATCTTTTCACTAACTCTACTCTGTCACACACTGGCAGCCTCTTCACCATCTAGGAAAACTAAGTGCTGTATATTTGGACTTGTTGTCTTCTGTATACAGCACACATTGCACAAATAAGAGGCACAGACAAAAGGACAATGGCTAATCTTGCATTACCAAAGCTTACATTAGTATTAGGCTCTTCATAACTCTCTTTCTTCCTCCCTCCCAAACCAGCACAACTATATATTGCTCAGAAGTGATCTTAGCATTCCATTTCCAAAAGACAGCATTTCACCACAAGTTTAAACAGGATAATCTACAACATGTATTATTTACTACATCTATCTTTAACATACTTTGTGCACTTCTAAACACCTAGAAGGTCTAGATGTTTCAGATGAGGACATAAATGTGTCCCCTATATCCAGAGTAGTGTTGAAACCACACACACATAACAATGGGTAGATCTCAAAGTGTCTTCTGCCGAGACCATTCTGGTCTCCCACCTCCCCTGTATCACATGACACTGGACCTAACACTTTCAGAAGACAACCTTGTATGACTTTAACACAGAGTATACAGAATTGGATAGTTTACTAACTGTACTTTTGTCATATACTGGCATCCCCTTTAATGCCTACAAACTAAAGTTAGGACTCCTTTGTCCAGTATGTACAATATATACAGTATAGCAAGGCTAAATGAAATGTATATACAGGGTGATGGGTAAGCTAAAACTGTCTAGCACACTAATGGAATCTTTTTGCAGTTTCTTCCCCCCCCCCAATCCATTGAACAAGTACACCTGGTACTGCTCTCAGAGGTGGGTTAGCAATTCTACTTCTAAACATAGTATCTCCAGTTTTTCAAAATCCATTTACACAAAGTTTTATTCTACTACTTCTACTTTAAATGTATCAT